TTTCAAAATCATGAGATTTGGACAACTCGCTTCAGGAACTAAAAACAAAAATGAAAGTGGACAAAGAAAGAGGACTCATGACTATGATTTTCTTAAAGCTTCGGAATATTTGGGATGCTCCAGAAGACTGAAAGATGCAAATATTATATGATTTTTTAATTTTTTTTTAAAGAACACATGAGATGTCCCGGATGATTGTAGGCTTGTTGGCCTGATGCTGAGCCCAGACAACCTAATTGCACAGCTGATGCCGGCTTCAATTAATAGAGTACTAAAAGAGAATAATGGAGCTGGTACCAGGCAACATCTTGCCAAATTACAGTTTTGATGAGATGAAAAGTTTGGTTGATGAGGGTATTGCAGATATTCAGGGTGTTACATAACATTATATTACAAAGAGTGATTTAAAAAATGCAAATATATTTGTATTCAGGAAATTGCCGTGAGGCAGATGAATTTCTGGAGGGATTCTCTGTCACAGCCCATGTTTTTAATACATCGGGGAAAGACGGCATACAATCGTTGCTCACAGCTTGCAAGCGGTGCAGAGGTAGCGGTGAGTGAGGAAGAGGAGAGGTGACAGAGTTGGCCAAACACAGTGCAGCTTTACCATGTGTCGAGGCACAGAGAACATTGCTCCACTTGCTTTCAGCCCCTGGGAAATGGGTGCTGAGAAAAGCTTTTGGAGGACATGGTGGCTTTCTGGCCAAGTATTAATGCACAGCCTGGCCAAAAAGGCTGGCGTGGTCTTTGGCTGTACAGACACGTAGGTAGGTGTAGGGACTCTGCTTTTAGCATGAGCCCAGCATCTCGAGGAGGTCAGAGTTGAGCTTAGCAAAGAGAAGAGGGAGAAATTACTTCACCTCTAACTACATAACGGGTGATGGGCATTTTCCATTTCTTCTCCAAAGATTTTGTAAAACCCAGTCAAAGGAAAACAAAATGCAGACTGGACATGAGGTGTATGTTTCTGAGGGTGAAATAGCACATGCAGCAGCAACGAGCCACGGGTAGAAACTGCATCTGGGAGACGACGACTTGAGTTGTACTGTGTTTTACCCGCTGATGCTGCCTGCTGCAAAGAGGATTCAGTCTGGGGAGTTGCTGTGCTGTGTGGCAGGTCAGACTGAGAGATCGCACCCTGGCTTTTGTCATCGGCACACTCGGGGGCCACCACGCCATTCGACTATTTATTAGAAATTAGGATACTCTGCAGAGAAAGCTGTGACCAGCTATGCCGAAGCAGCACTTGTTACAGCGTGCAGATGCCTAGAATACAACAAAGTCTTAAAACTTGGATCGAGAAACAACAAAGCCCTGCCACCTCTTACACATGTCCTGCTTAGTCACCACTTAGCGTCTTAGCAAGACCAGCCTTCCCCGGCGCGCCGAGTCCCCTGCAGCACCTCCTCCTCGCCCTTGAGCTCCCGCAAAGATCGCGCCCTTCTTTTCACTTGCTGCAGGCCGTGTTACTTTGCCACTTCCAGGGTCTTTTCTGAGTCACTGGCACTTTCAGAAAGTAAAGGCTGTGGAAACTTCTTCCTAATGGGCAGGAAAATTGCTGCCTCCCCACAGGCTTTCTACTAAATCATAACAAGCAAGTGTTATTTCGACATTAGTGTCTTTCCCGTTGGTTACAGTAGGCGCAGATCCCCGTTGGTGGTGTTGGTGATAGTGGGTATGTGCATAAGCATGCAGAGAATCAGCTCTCGGGGTTATGATCTTGTTAACTCTCTAGAGACCACATCAAAGTCAAAGAAGTACAAAATAAATCAGCTAGTCGGTTTAAATGTTTTTTTGTACTCGCAGTTGGGAGCTGCAGGCTCTTACCAAGTTAGGTTTGCTGCAGGATTTGAAGGAAACAGTTCCTCTTATCTCTCGGCAAAGAGAGTATTTGCAGAGCCATAAGAGGGACTCGGGAGCAAAGCTGAAGCTTTGACTCTCAGCCGCGTGCCACCCTCTTTGTGGCTTCCTTTAGGCTTCGCGGCAGCCCACGAACCCCGGCTTTGCAAGCAGCATCTGGTGTTTGGAAGGCCAAGGTTATTCGTACCAACAGCACGCGGTGTGATGTACAATGGCTTTACAAGTCACAAGCGCTCAGAGCCCTCCCGTCACTAGAATGATAACAAAATCATACAATTTTGCGCTCAAAACATTAGTGCTTTTATGAAGATTTTTATGAAATAATGAAGTATGATAATACTTTTTATGAAGTATCTGTAAGCTTCAGCCAGCTTTTAGTGCCTTTGTATTTCTCACTGGTAATGAGAAAGCATTTTATCAGCAGAATACCCTTAAAGCGGAGCTGTACGTCATGTGCTGGGGACACGGCAGGTTAATAGTCGCCTGTTGTCTTCTCGCTTGTGCCCTATCCTTTTGGAAGAACATAGGTGAATACATCTTTGGGTAGCCTGCAGTGAAATTACTTACTGTGGGTAAAATACCATCCTGCTGTGAGATCAGCTCCTAAAACTTAGAAATTTTTCATGCATTATATTCTGTTCCCTTTCAGGCCCCACGTTGTTCCACATAATTACAGGTAGTAGTGCCAAGTATGGCTGAGAGTGATCAGGTCATCACCAGGGACTTTTGCTAATAGGTATAACCAGAAAAACAAGTGCAAACTTCACAGACTGTTTTGGGCACAGCTTCACGAGGACCAAAGAAGTCGAAAGCTCCCAGGTACCGCTGATAGTTCAGCAACTGTGTCCTCAGTGAGCTTGCTAAACAGAAAGCGACATGTTTAGACAGGGCGGGAAAGGTGTGCTTCACAAGTAGCTCTGATGTCCCAAGGAGCACTCAGCTCTCCTCCAAGTCCAAGTATCAGGCATTTTTTCTTTCCGGCAGTAGCCCAGTCATCACCCATCATAGTCCAATCACCCATCATAGCCCCGTCAGTCCTTGCTGTCACCTCGCAGAGATCCAGGATTTCAGGGGAGATGCTGGTTGCCAGTAGTAGCTTCCACCCAAGTGGGAGTTTTTGGCTGACCTTGTCACGGGGTTTCTGACACTGCCCGGGGCACCTTTGTGATCCTTATGCCTCTTTCTTGGACACCTACTTAATCACGGAGTAACCTGTGCACGGGTGTTCCTAGTTTAATCTTAGTTTTGGACATACCAGACAGCAAACAGACAGAGTATAAGAAAAGGATCTCCAAAGACAATCATATCCTTCAGCCCATTCACATGGAGAAAAAAAAAAAACTTCTTCCCCCATGTGCTTTCCTGTATATTAAAACAAGGGGGAAAAAAAGCCAAATCCTTTTTTTTTTGCTACACCTTCTTACAAATATCCAATGTACTACAACACTACCTGTGGTTAGCACATTTTACTCCTTTATTCCATGTAAGACCTTGTATTGAATTTTTTGATTGCTGCTGTATGCTAAATACACAGCTCATTACAGGAAGGCCACAGAACGTGTTGGTGGGACTATTAAGCTTGACTGCCCTTCTGACTTTTTCAGAATGGAAACATGTTCTAAAACCGTCTGGTGACACTTAAAAGTGCTTTTTTTTTTCCCTACCAAAAAAAAAGAAGCATCCAGGCTCTCCTGCTGATGTGGCAGCGGCACTGTGTAGCAGCTACGCTACCGAGACGCTGCCCTGGTCTGGCAATAAGCAGTGAAGTCGCTGGAGAAATAAAAGAGGTACAAGTGACTTGAAATGCTAACTTCTGCCTGATGCATAACCTCCTATGGCAAAGTGTGGTATATCAAACGAAATGGGAGGAAATACAACAGTGGGTCGCTGTTACAGAGAAGTCAGCATGCGGTGAAACGCCTTGGGAGTTTATTGCTCATATCAGGGACCTTGCGTGACTTCTCTATGTGGCCTGCTGGATGTAACAGCGCTCAGCCCGTAGTAAAGAGTCTGTTTTGCACAAACTAAAGGTGGTTTTGCACCCCGTCTGCCTAGACGGGCACAGTTGCTGCACAGTGTGAATGCCCAGGAAAGGGTGGAAAATACCTGTAAATCCGACCTTGAGACATCCTCAGTGATTCCAGTGCTTGCTTTCAGATTGCCAGCTTAAGACAAAGTCCAAAACACCGTATTTTTTCCGGGTGTAAAGGCTGAATGCCGGGAAATAATAATAAATAAAAAAAAAAAACCACTGAAATGTTTTTTCTGGATTTTTAGCTGAAGCTAAGATTATCTTTGAATATTTTACAAAAACAAGCCATACGAAATGTGAGAGTGATAAGGTACCTTAAAAACAATGCTTATTTAGTCGCGCACAAGTCAGCCGTCGTGTTGGGTTAATATCTGTTTAATTCTCCTACGGTGTTTCAGGCTCAGGAGAAAAACACTGTATCTCAAAAATACTCCAGAGTTAATCAGGGATGTGGCAGCATCTGCTTAAGAGAGATCCGTAATTGAATCATCCCTAATTAACCTATCACCTCAGCAGAAGGGAATAGGATGTTGGTACCACTACTGAAATGGATGAGAGTGATGGGAATGGAAAGGGGGAAGGATGAGGACCTAGTTTTATAACAAATTTGGGAGGAGGGAGGGGAAAGAAATTAAAGTATATGAATCATTAAATCTGTTCAGTATAGTTAATCAGACTGTAGTTTCAAAAACATTTGAGCATATTTACATGTTAATCAGTGCATGACTTAGGTCCAAGAAATGTTTTCTCCTTTGTATGGTTTAGGCTGTTTACAGTATTTACGGATTTTTTTTTTATTATTATCATTGCTGCTGACCTAATTTGTATTTGTAATAATTGTAATTTCAACTAGGAAAAAAAACTTTGAAAACTAGTGGGCAGAAAATAAAAGCAATGTCGGAGACCTCAACATAGGAAATACAATATCTGCCATATATTTATTGAATGAAATGACTGCACAAATCAAAACGAGAAGTATTTCCTATTTGAAATAAATCTCACAGACATACCAAACAGATCCTGAAGAACACTGCTTGATTTAATATTGATGTTCTATTTTGTGCTAGACAGCTAATATACAGTAATTGCAATTTGTTTCATGCAGTGCCCTGCCAGACTGTTTTAGATTATTTGAAGACTGTACTTCAGCATCACAACCAGCTTATGGTACCCCAGCCAACAGACCATCCGACTGAGGTAGTATACAGTGAAGACAAGCTACATCTCTTTATGTTTGACAATTCATTGAAAACACGTAGGCAAATAGTAGGCACTGGAAGAATATATTTAGTAGTAAAAATGTGTAAAATCTATTATTAAACTGTCATTCTTAGGTACAGTAATCCCCCACATGGAGGAGGCTCCTCACTAGTATAATCTAGGATGGCTTTACTGAGCAGCGCGTAACTCCCTCCATCGGCACCAGCTGCACTTGCCTTGCTTTGGGTAATTTTTCTCTCACCTTTCCTCAGAAATATCACTTTTGTGGGTAGAATTTAACCTAGGGCCAGCCTGGTGAAAACTGCAGCTGGGTGATTGAGGGCGGCTGCGCCCGGCGGCTGCCGGTGCGCCGAGGCTGCAGCCCGTGCGTGGCGGGTAGCGACGTGTCGTGTGTATGGGCACGGGCACGCGTGTGTACGCAGTTGGTGTGGCTCCCGTGCAGCCCTGAGATGGTTAATGCTAAAAGAGATGTTTCCTTCATTTCGCAGACAGACCCAAATATAGACGCGTGCAAGTCTTCCAGAGTGCTCTTGCTTGTCAAAAAGCATCCCAAACAAAATGTTGAGTGTTGACAATTTTATACTTGATACGGAGTTTGGGGATTTTTGTAATCATGATCTGTTTAAAAGTGCTGCAGTGAAAAAGCAGGGAATTTAAGCCTCCCCTAGATGTATAGATCTATCTATCAGTCAGCTCTAGTGTAACTCACATTCATTTTGCTCCCATGTGTTTCTATCCAGGCTTGTAAAAATACCTCAAATGAAGTGGTTTTGTTGAGACTTTCCTAGTTTAGACTGTCTGTAGTTGAGGCTCTTGCTATGCCTGTTTTCATTATCTAGTGCATGGGTGTCACTACCCATTATTCATGCAAACAAAAGTAGGAGAGGGAAGACTTAGGTCTGGACTGACCTCCCTTTGCACATCAGTTACATACAGTGCAAGCCTCACGTAGTCCAACTCACCATAGTTTCACTGAAGATGCTTCGCAGCAGTTCAGGGTGTGCATTAGGCTGTGCAAATCGATATATGCATATATATATTTTTTTATATTTATATATATCATTAGCTGTTATCACTCAAATATATTCCAAGGATTCGTTCTCCTTCCTTTAATGTTCTTCTGCTTAACTAAAATTTTCAAGCACTGTAAAAAATGAGGCTGTTCTGTAACGTCCCACATGGAATAGCTTGTCATGATGTGACAGGATTTTTTATTCAATTAAACACATAGATGCTAATCTTTTATTCATAAGCTTAATCATGTACAAATACAAGCATGAACGCATTTGTACTTTGGTTCTTCCTTCAGGATCCGCTTATTTCATTTCTGGAAGGTTTTCTGTTTGTTTTCGTTTAATGACTGCTGGACACACCAAACTGCATCATGTATTTACCAAAAATCTTTTGCCCAGAAGTGCTTTACTTTCAGAGGAAGTAATGGAAGTGTATCTGTAGCAGGAACCCAGTAATTGTTTAACAGAGTAGCATAACACTATATCATGCCTTTGGAGAAGAAGGAGGAAAAAATATTCTAAATTTCAGGGGGAATAAGAGAGAAGTATAATAAAATTGGGGCTGAGGAAATTATGCAAAATTTATTGCCTTCTCCTCAGTTAATAGTAATGCGAGCTCTTATGAAATTTAGATGTTGGGCCTTCTTGCACCCGATTTCCGTCAGTGCAATACATTTAAACACAGAGGTGGCTTTTAGGATAGCTGCTACTTAGTGAAGCCACACACGAGCATCCATCCCTAACACACACGAGCAAGCCTGGAGCTTTACCCTGTGCCATTACAGGCTTGCATTGCATCCCTCCTGCCTGCCAGCGCCCAAAAGCAAGGCAGTGCCTACAGAGTTAGTTGCGGCTTGTTCTTTGCACCAGTGTCAGTAAGAAAAGTTGTTGCTTTTCTACAAGTTTTTTTTTAACTAGGGA